TTTTGGGATCTGCACTTTGGGATCTGAACTTTGGGATCTGCACTTTGGGATCTGAATTTTGGGATCTGCGTTTTGGAATCTGCACTTTGGGATCTGAATTTTGGGATCTGCACTTTGGGGTCTGAATTTTGGTGTCTGTGTTTTGGTATCTGAACTTTGGGATCTGAATTTTGGGATCTGAATTTTGGGATCTGAATTTTGGGAACTGCACTTTGGGATCTGTGTTTTGGGATCTGCGTTTTGGGATCTGTGTTTTGGGATCTGCACTTTGGGATCTGCATTTTGGGATCTGTGTTTTGGGATCTGTGTTTTGGGATCTGCATTTTGGGATCTGCACTTTGGGATCTGAATTTTGGGATCTGCACTTTGGGATCTGAATTTTGGGATCTGTGTTTTGGGATCTGCACTTTGGGATCTGCACTTTGGGGTCAGGATTTTGGGATCTGCACTTTGGGATCTGCATTTTGGGATCTGTGTTTTGGGATCTGCACTTTGGGATCTGCACTTTGGGATCTGCACTTTGGGGTCAGGATTTTGGGAACTGCATTGTGGGAACTGCGTTTTGGGATCTGAATTTTGGGATCTGCATTTTAGGATCTGAATTTTGGGATCTGTGTTTTGGGATCTGAATTTTGGGATCTGTGTTTTGGGATCTGAATTTTGGGAACTGCGTTTTGGGATCTGCACTTTGGGATCTGCACTTTGGGATCTGAATTTTGGGATCTGCATTTTGGGATCTGAATTTTGGGATCTGTGTTTTGGGATCTGAGTTTTGGGATCTGCAGTTTGGGAACTGTACTTTGGGATCTGAATTTTGGGAACTGCATTTTGGGATCTGAATTTTGGGAACTGCATTTTGGGATCTGAATTTTGGGATCTGCATTTTGGGATCTGCACTTTGGGATCTGCATTTTGGTGTCTGTGTTTTGGGAACTGCACTTTGGGGTCAGGATTTTGGGGTCTGAATTTTGGGATCTGCACTTTGGGGTCTGAATTTTGGGATCTGTGTTTTGGGATCTGCACTTTGGGGTCAGGATTTTGGGGTCTGGATTTTGGGCAACTCCCTTGGCTGCTGAGCTGCAGGTTGTGTGTGACAGTGAGGGGACACCTGGGTGACCCAGCTGTGACTGGGGTGGCACAAAGTGACACAGGGATGGCACTGGGTGACATGGGGGTGGCACTGGGTGATGGTGGCTATGACAGGGGTGGCACCAGGTGACATGGGGGTGGCACTGGGTGATGGTGGCTGTGACAGAGCAGGCACTGGCTGACACAGGGGTGACACCAGGTGACAGGGGTGGCACCAGGTGACAGTGGCTGTGACAGGGATGGCACCAGGTGACACAGGGGTGGCACCAGGTGACACAGGGGTGGCACCAGGTGACAGTGGCTGTGACAGAAGTGACACCAGGTGACACAGGGGTGGCACTGGATGGCACTGGGTGATGGTGGCTGTGACAGGAGGTGGCACTGGGTGACACGGGGATGGTACTGGGTGACACGGGGGTGGTACTGGGTGACCCCACTGTGACAGAGGTGGCACTGGGTGACACGGGGGTGACACCAGGTGACGGTGGCTGTGACAGGGGTGACACCGGGTGACACAGGGGTGGCACTGGTTGATGGTGGTTGTGACAGGGGCGGCATCAGGTGACCCAAGGGTGACACCAGGTGACACGGGGGTGGCACTGGGTGACCCAGTTGTGACGGGGGTGGCACTGGATGACAGTGGCTGTGACAGGGATGGCACCGGGTGACACAGGTGTGACACCAAGTGACACGGGGGTGGCACCAGGTGACAGGGGTGGCACCAGGTGACACAGGGGTGGCACCGGGTGACACAGGGGTGGCACTGAGTGACCCAGCTGTGACAGAAGTGGCACCGGGTGACACAGGTGTGGCACCAGGTGACACAGGGATGACACCAGGTGACAGTGGCTGTGACAGAGGTGACACCAGGTGACACAGGGGTGACACCAGGTGACGGTGGCTGTGACAGGGATGGCACCAGGTGACACAGGGATGGCACCAGGTGACACAGGGGTGACACCAGGTGACAGTGGCTGTGCTGGCAGGGCATGCAGAGGAAGCGTCCCTCGGAGGTGCAGAGCGCTCTGCTGAGGAGGCACCTCCTGGAGCTCACCCAGAGCTTCATCATCCCCCTGGTGAGTGCTGGGGACACGGGGGGGACACGGGGACAGGGACAGGGACAGGGACAGGGACAGGGACAGGGACAGGGACAGGGACAGGGACAGGGGAGGGGCTTTTGTACCAATCCCATCCCCCTCCATGGCAGGGACCCCTCCCACTGTCCCAGGGTGCCCAAACCCCGATGCCCACCTGGCCTGGGGCACTCCAGGACACTCCTCAGTGTAAATCACTGTTTTTTTTTCTCTGTTGTTGTTTTTAGGAACATTACATGGCACACAGGAGCACACAGGGAACTCCCTCAGTGTAAATCACTGATTTTTTTCTCCCTATTGTTGTTTTTAGGAACATTACATGGCACACAGGGAACCCCCTCAGCATAAATCACTGGTTTTTTTTTCTGTTATTGTTTTTAGGAACATTACATGGCACACAGGAGCCCCCTCAGTGTAAATCACTGTTTTTTTCCTCTGTGTTATTGTTTTTAGGAGCATTACATGGCACACAGGGAGCCCCCTCAGTGTAAATCATTATTTTTTTCCTCTGTGTTATTGTTTTTAGGAACATTACATGGCACACAGGGAGCCCCCTCTGTGTAAATCGCTGTTTTTTTCTCTCTATTGTTGTTTTTAGGAACATTACATGGCACACAGGGAGCCCCCTCAGTGTAAATCACTGGTTTTTTTTTCTCTCTGTTATTGTTTTTAGGAACATTACATGGCACACAGGAGCACACAGGAGCCCCCTCTGTATAAATTGCTATTTTTTTGTCTCTCTGTTATTGTTTTTAGGAGCATTACATGGCACACAGGGAGCCCCTCAGTGTAAATCACTGGTTTTTTTTTTCTGTTATTGTTTTTAGGAGCATTACATGGCATACAGGAGCCCCCTCAGTGTAAATCATTATTTTTTTCCTCTGTGTTATTGTTTTTAGGAGCATTTCATGGCACACAGGGAGCCCCCTCAGTGTAAATCACTGCTTTTTCTCTCTCTGTTGTTGTTTTTAGGAACATTTCATGGCACACAGGAACACACAGGAGCCCCTCAGTGTAAATCACTGGTTTTTTTCTCTGTTATTGTTTTTAGGAGCATTACATGGCACACAGGAGCCCCCTCAGTGTAAATCACTGGTTTTTCTCTCTCTGTTATTGTTTTTAGGAGCATTACATGGCCAGCCTGATGCCTCTGCAGAGAGCCATCACCCCCTGGAAGGTGCAGTGCATCTCATCCTTGCTGTGGTTTTGGGGAATGGTTTTGGGGTGCTGGGCACACCTGGGAGCTTCCCCCGCTGAAGAAAGGGGGATTTTATCCTCTAAACATTTAAAAAAAACAATTGGGAGAGCCCCTGGGATGGATATTCCCWGTTGGGAATCTCTCATAAACGTCAACCTTGGGTTGTTTTCATCCCTGGTGCACCTTTCCCATGAATTTCCCCGTGTTCCTGCTGTTTTTGGGGTTTTGTGGTGTGGATTTCTGTGGAATGATGGGGATCTCCCCGTGCAGAACCCGCCCCAGATCCGCCCTTTCTGCCAGGAGGATTTYATGAAGAGCCTGGAGCACGCTGGGCCCCAGCTCACCTGTGTGCTCAAAGGGGACTGGCTGGGGCTCTACAGGTGAGAGGAAATGCCCCAAATCCACCCTACAGAGCCACCCCATGCACAAAAACCCCAGGACATCATCACTGGGGACACAGAGCTCATCAGGGATTGCTCAGGATGGGCAGGAAAAGCAGATCAGGGCACCCTAAATGAGCAGAGACCCTTTAGGGGGGTCTGTTCTGGGTGTTTGGTCCTGAATGGGGTGGGGAGGACCCCAATCCTATTGAATGGTGCAATGGAGTGGGAATGTCCATCCGAGGGAGGGAATGGGAAAGGAACAGAGATGGAGGAGGGAAAACATTCCAGAAAGGGATAAGGAACAGTAAT